TGTTCTCTGTCTTCACTCCTTACTATTGACAAACTATGCACAGTCCCATCAAAAGCTAACTTCCACACTTGTACACCAAATCCCATCCCTTCTTGCCAAACTGATGGACAGTTTTCCATCAATTACATTCACTCTCTCCATCATCCATTATTCTGTGTCCTCCAGGCCACTCCCAGTAGCATACAAACATGTTATTTCTTTCATACAGCATATTCACCCACATACACATAATGCTTCCCTGTCTAGCTACCCATTTTTCTACTCCCCTTATTCAAGAGTCTCTTCTGTCTCCAACTTCTCTACTCCCCTATTTTCTTAAGCCCACTCTAATCAGGCTCTTGCCCTCATTCCTCCACCAAAACTATTATTTTCAAGGTCACTATGGGCCTCAACATTGTTAAAAATCAATGTTCAATTCTCAACTCTCAACTTACGTAGCACTATTTCTCACAGTGATCACACCTTGAAATACTTTCTTTAGTTAGCATTCAGGACTCCACATTCTCCTGGGTTTCCTCTAACTGACCACTTCTCAGTGTCTCCTTATGGTTTCTCATTACTCCTGACATCTTAAGGTTAGAGTGCCCCAGGGCAGGCTTGGTCCTTTTCTCTTTTTTCTCCACATTTACATCTTTGGTAATCTCAAATAGTCTCACAGTTTTGATACCATCCACATATTGATGATACCCAGATTTATATCTTCAACCTAGATATTTCCTTTTTGCCAGACGTATATTCTATTGCCTCCTTAAAATCTCTACTTGAATGTCTGGCATCTCAAATGTACATGTCCAAAATCAAACCCAGTTCTTCATATCACCTCAAACTTTCCCTTTTCCCCAAAAAGTGCTCCTCTTGCAATTTCTAACATCTTAGTAAATGGGAACTCCATCTTCCCAATTACTCAGGCCAAAATCCTATGTTCTCTGATCCTTCCTTCTCTTACCCCATATCCAACCCATCAGGAAATCTTTTGGGTTCTAACTTCAAAATATATGCAGAATCTGACTGCTTCTTAAACCACTTCCACTGTTACTGAACCAAGGTCCAAGCCAACATCAATGCTTTCCTAGACTACTAGAGTAGGTTCCCAAGTAGTCTCCCTGCTTCTACCATTGCTCCCTTTACAGCCTCAACAAAGTAACCCTCCGATTATTTTATTTGAGATTTTACTATTTATTCATGAGAGACAGACAGAGAGAGAGAGAGAGGCAGAGACACAGGCAAAGGGAGAAGCAGGCTCCATGCAGGGAGCTCAATGTGGCACTCAATCCCAGGACTCCAGGATCACGCCCTGAGCCGAAGGCAGATACTCAACCACTGAGCCACCCAGGCATCCCTAACCTTCCAATTAAAACATAGTACAGATCATGTCAATCTTCTGCTCAAAACAAAAAACAAAAATTTTTAAAAAGTGAAAACTGAAATTCTTAAAATGGTCTACATTCCCTAAGGCCATACAAGGTATGATCCTTTCTTTCCTCTCTTACTGCCCCTTCTACTAGTCCTCCCTTTGTTCAATCCAGTGCAGCCATACTGGTCTTGTTATTTCCAGAGCAATCTGGGTATGCTCTCTACTCAGTCTCTGCACTTGCCAATTCTTCTGTCTACAATGTTCTCCCCTTCAGATATTTGCATGGCTCATTCCCTCACTTCTTTCATACCTTTAATCAAATGTCAACTTACCAATGTGGCCTTCCCTGATAAACCTTATTTAAAACTTCAACCCACCCTTACTCAAGGCATTCCCTATTCACCGTTATTTACTTTCTCTAACATATATATATATATATATATGTTATTTCTAACAAATATATATATATATATATATTTCTCTCTCTCACACACACACACACGTATGCACACATACAAAGTTTTTTGTCTGTTTTGTTCCCTACTATGTTCCTAGGGCCTAAAACAATGCCTAGCAGAGAGCATACACTTAAGTAAACATTTATTGAAAAAACAGAAAAAAATAAAAAACAAATCCGAGATTAGTACACAGAAGTCAGATTTATTCCTGCATGCCAATTAAAACTTTGAAAAGAAATGTAATTTCTTACCAACCCCAAATATCTCAATTTCTTTATTCTATAGAATCTATTCAGAAAATTCCACTGGCAAATACCTTTTTTCATTAAATCCAAACTTTATTATTTTTTTTTAAAAGCTTGGCATGGAGCCCAACACAGAGCTTGAACTCAGAACCCTGAAATCAAGACCCAAGCTGAGACCAAGAGTCAGATGCTTAACCAACTAAGCCACACAGGTGCCCCAAATTTCTTCAATTTACTAAGGACAAAGCTTTCCCATCTCTTAGTCTATGATTCTTCCAGAACTAGAATAAATGCTATGCACCTAAGCACCATATCATTCTACTAAATGTAAATATGTATATATACACATATATCTACTTTTATGTTTTTATTCCTTCATACTAAATGATAACACAGATTTTCTAAGACTAAGCACCCACCGATAAAAATTCTTTAAAAAGAATTTAAGAAGAAAAAATTATTTAAAAAGGAGTCAGGACTACACTGTAAAGATCAATGAAAAACGAGGAGTCTGGGAAACTGGCACAGCCAAAAAAGTCTAAGAAGACATGTCAACTAAATGTAAGGTGGTGTCCTGGATGAGATACTGAAGCAGAAAAAGGACATAAAATTAAAGAAAAAAAAAAACTACGGAAATGGGTGCCTGGGTGGCTCAGTGGTTGAGCATCTGCCTTTGGCTCCGGTCATGATCCTGGGGTCCTATGATCAAGTCCCACATCCAGCTCCCGGCAGGGAGCCTGTTTCTCCCTTTGCTTATGTCTCTGCCTCTATCTGTGTGTCTCTCATGAATGAATGAATGAATGAATCAATCAATCAATCAATCTTAAAAGGAAAAAAAAAAACCTAAGGAAATCTGAATAAACTGGACTTTAAGTTAATAACAGTGAATCGATATTGGTTCATTAATTTTACCAAATGTTAATGTAAGATTTTAACAGAGGATACTTGGTACAAGGTTATATGGGAATTCTTTGTACTAGCTTTGCAATTTTTCTGTAAATCTAAAAATATTCTAAAAGATTAACTTTATTAAAAAAGAAGAGATGGTCAGGTTAGTATTATCTCCAGTACATATTATACTCCTTTTAGTAATAAACTTAAGCAAATCGATGAATACTATTTTCAAATTTTATAATCAATATCAATGTAATATATCATTAACACTACATAATAAAAAATAAAAGATATCTTCTACACATGATTCACAGTTCTGGTTCAGCAATCAAGTAAGAGAGTTATTGAAATAAGAACATATATATTTTTTACTAGCTTTCTTGCATGAGATATACATATACACACACATATATATATTTAGTACCTTTTTCCCCTTTCTATTTCAGTTCAGAAACAAGTAAAAGACAAGAAAAAAAGGAAAAGAGAGGGAGAGAAGAGAAAGAGGGGAAGGAAGGAAAGAATGAACAATGGTTCAAGCAAAGACATAAATATTTGACTAAACTCACAGGAATGCAGAACTTAAACATTAGTAGAATGTATGACTAAGTCACCTACAAAATGAAAGGAACCTAAAAGAGATCTGAAAAGACTAAACAACAAAACTCAATTATAACTCTCAAAAAGGAGAATGAAGTTGAGATATAGTTTAGAATTTTTTAAAATAAGGAAAAAATTCCAAACAGCAATTAATTACTACAGACCTAGAAGAACTAGTAATACTAGAATAGGACACTCCAGAAGAAATTTTTTTTGTATATTTTTTATTGGAGTTTGATTTGCCAATATATAGTATAACACCCAGTGCTCATCCCATCAAGTGCCCCCCTCAATGCCCATAATCTAGTCACCCCCTCCCTCCACTCACCTCCCCTTCCATTACCCCTTGTTCGTTTCCCAGACTTAGAGTCTCTCATATCAGAAGAAATATTTTTTAAAGAAAAAAAAAAGCTTATAAGCTTAAGGTCAAAAACCATATTATATTCATCTCTGTATTCCCCATGGCGTTTACACTTAAGAATTATTTAACACGTTCTTTTAAACGAATAGCTCATTTACAGTATAGCTAAGAGTTAATTCTCCCTAAAAGGATATCCAAAAGCAATGCCACAAGGATCAAGAGCAGAGAGACCAGCAATGGTTTTTCTATAACTACAATACGACATCAGAAGGAAAAAATGTATATGGATTTCAAAAACTTCTAAGGAAAAATGAATTTAAATTCTTCAAGGAAATGATGTTGCCTAAATATTAATAAGTACTTAAGAATGTCAGTAAAGAGGTCATACTTTTCTTTTTTTTACTGAAAGAACAGATTTTTAAGTAACAGCAACTGCTTTCCACAAAATATCACATTAAAAAATATTATTTCCTAAAGTTATTTAAAAAGTATTTTTGAAAAGTTAGTGCCAGTTATACAAAATACTGTAAAAATGATAGAAACCTGGCCTATAGACCAAACACTCTTTTAAAAATTACTAAAAAGAAGTATAAATTGTAAAAAACTTAAATCGGCTATGAAGGCAGGAGTTCAGTGCAAGTATCTATGCCTAATTTATTTTAATCATATGTAAACTTTTACACTCATCAAAACATCAGGCTTATATTTTTATAAACCAAATCCTACTTAACTGACTGAGCCACTGAGGTGCCCCGTAAGAATTTTCATAAGGTATTCTAAAAGATCCTTATTTGAACAGGGGAAAAAAACTTATAAAATACTGTTGAAATTATTTTAATTTCAAAAGCTTAAAACCAATTATATATTTAATCTCAATGGATAATATCTTTTACTTATCAACATATTCCTGAAAAATCAAAATGAAATTAATTTATTGCCATCCACTCCAAGTCATAACTCATATTACCAAATATAAATTAACATAAAAGCATTCTACATAAGTTTTTACACACCTCTATCACACTTTTGAACTCACTTGGATAAATATGGATCTTTCCAACAGCAGCAGCAGTTTCTACAAAGTTATTTACCTTGTCCAGGTCTTGCAGTTACAGCTGCTCCAGCAGATGGCGGCTCAAACTCCTGTCAATTACAATAATGTTATTACAGTGACCTACTACAATGCACTATTTATAAATAGCACTGATATAACAGTCTTACCTTTGCTTTCTTTGAGTCTGGATCAAACCTTTCAAGAATTAATTTAGCCGTTTTATAAGTTTCTTTTTCCATGACTTCTTCAAGCTACGAACAAAAATTTCCATAAATTGTCACACTTGAAAACATACACACTACTTATTTTTATAAGTCCTATTCCAAAAGTGTTCAAGTACAATGGTTAAAATAAACAGCATATAATATATCCAGACAGCATCAAATACTTCCTACATTCAAATAATTAAAATCCAGATTTTAAAATGGCTTCTAACCCCTAATATGTTACTTGTATTTAACAGCTTTACTGCAAGGAAATACCAAATACTGCTAATTGTTTACATATAATGAGGAGAATAATTACATGCACCAACTTCAATAATGGAATGTGCAAAAATCTATCAGCCATCATTATTGGAAGTTATTAGACATGACAAGCAAATGACAGGCAATTCCTCAGATTTATTTCCTCATAGCACTTAATGCTATTAATTTAAAGAAGGTCGTTAGCCAAGAGCTTTACAAAATAAAATCTCTGTGCCAATTAACTGCTGTCAGCATCGATTTTAGATTATTTATTAGCAGAAGCAATTAGCTTGCTGCAAATGCAGTGAAAACTCACTAGCTGGGAGAACAGCCATGGAATTTGAACAAATGACTTTAAAAGCTGAAGCTCCCCCTTTTTTACTTAGATTCAAACAACTTTAGAGGGAAAAAAAAAACACAGTAAGAATTTAAGTAAAAATTTTACTGAGTTCTATACTCACACTAGGGACTGTAATTGAAACAGTTCATTGTTACAGCATTTTATTTACAATACACACAAGTCACTCTATGGCTAAATACAAGGTTTAATTTAAAAAGCAATAACTAGTAAAGTATCATTTTAGCAGTTATGGCCCAATATCAGAAAAAATTTAATTTTAGTACAAGGCAGTCATATTATGACAAATAGCTAATGTATAGAAGAAAATGCTTTGCAAAAATTGGAATGGGACCTTTTCCTTCTCAGTGACCACTGATAGCCACTTAGATTCATTAAATGTCATATTTATTCCAAAGGTCATTTATTTTAGAATACAACACAGAGCACATTTACCAAGTTAAGAATACAGTTAAAAATATGCTACCCAATCATGGTTAATGGATTCCTCATTAAAAACTCAATTCAACATTTAAGAAGCTAAGTACTTAGATGAATGATTTATTAACCTTGGTTTAGTGAAACTAAAACATTTTCCTAATTATTTCAAAATTATGATAAATTCTCTAAACAAACAGGTTTAATGTTCTGATGTAAAGGAAATGTTTGCAGTTCACTTTAGAGTTGAGAAAAAACTGGGAATCAAGATAGAAAGAGGACATGATACCATATATCCCTAAATCAACATAATCTACATGGAATATCAATGAACTACACCCCTGATCTCTACAAATTAATTTTTGATGTTTTAGGCCAACATTTAGCAATAGAACTTTACATAATGATGGAAATGGTTTATATGTTCTTAATACAGTAACCACTAAGCCATATATAACAAATGTTGCTTATGCAACTGAGGAATGGAATTGTAGTTTTATTCCATTTTAAACAATGTAATTCAAAAGATACATGGGGCTTTTGGCTACTGATGCGGACAGCACAGTTCTAGATGAAGAGGACTGCTAGGTTTAAAAAGATTAGATACAACTGTGATCTTTGAAACAACACACAAAACTCAAAATCAAAATGCCACTTCATCAAATGAATGTAATACCTGGTACATCATTCAGCAAATATTTATGTTTATATCTATGTTCATGTAAAGTATCTTCAATAAACTAAAGCACTAAAAGATGTAAACTATTCTCCTTTTCTAACAAAAATTTTTCACATAATAGCTTAACACACATGTATCCATCCATACATTTTAAGTGAATAACTTGTTTCAAATAGAGACATTCTGATAGTATAAAAAAAAAACGAACTTGAAACTCTGAAGTCAGAAAAAAAAATCTAGGTTCAAAGCACATCCCCATTCTTAATTACTTAAAAAGATTTTGAGCAATATCAGTGGCCTCAGTTTCTCTTTTTGTAAAGCAAATACACTAATATTTTCTTCATAGCACTGTTAGGTACTTAAATATAATAATGTAAAAGAAAGAATCTATAATAGTACCTAATACAATACATAATCTTTATTTAATATACTCAGATTATTCAGAATGGGTCTGAAAACAGCAGTGTTTCCAAATACCCAACATATTAATCCCAGGATTCAGGAATGAAAATTTGATACTCAGAATCCCCTAAAACACGTTACTCTGTTTTTCATAATATTTTTTATATGTTAAATAGTAATGAATGATATAACAACGAATGAACTGTTCTTCTGTGATACGTTATACTAAAAGTTTCTGAGCTTTTTATTTAAAAAACAAAATAATCATATTTCATTATGAATCAATATTTTGCAAAGATTACATATTTCAATAACATGTAAAAATTATTTCTACTTGATTGAGACATTCCATCATGGACAACACTAAAAGAAGGGAACATTAACACAGATGTCAGAAAAAAAATTTTAATTTTAAAAGGTAATCGTACAAATATTTAATATTTAAATTATCATTCTTAAAATTTTAAAACACACAAAGCATCAATTGTTCTATCCAATATTCTTCATCTTTGCTTCATGGCAAAAACTCTAGACGTAGAAAAATTTATTTTGTTATGTATTAACTTTGGTCAAATTATTAGAAGTGTGCCCCAAAGCATATTCAACTCAGAGCGGTAGGGTACATGTTGCATTATTTAAACTCATCTTTTTACAATGATGAAAATACTGTCTGCTTACCCTGATTTTGGTTCTACTGCTGAAATCAATACTGTTTTTACTAGTTCAGATTTTATATCATTTTCTGATTTCATACAGCAGTATTCCACAATAATAGTCCCATCTTTTCTCTCTGCATTTCTTCTGTTAAAGTATTTACAAAGATCTGGAGCCTAGAGTGAATATTCAAATACTAGAAAATGGCAGCAAACATTATTGGGTAATATAAAAATATAACATTTGAAACTTCTAGTGAGGTGAACAGCACTACACAGAATTACATGCTGAACTTGCTAATTTAAGGACTTTTTTGCTTCCAAAATTTATTTCATGTAATGTCATTAACAGGATTATACATAAAACATACCAAGAGTATAAGCTTATTATTACTTATTTGCAAAAAAATTTCACCATTAACAAGAGACAGGGCCCATAAAACATATGGCCACAAAAGCAAGACAGATTAATTAGATTGTAAGATTTCTCTACTACATGCTCCTGTCCTGCTCCCACAAATGTCCATATTAACCTAGAGCTCAGAATGTCAGCATTTCTTGCTCTTTCCTTCAACCAGCGTTAGTAGATTCCTTTGAACCAGTAACATTTTGTAGTTAATTGTTAAGCTATAATACTCAGAATTATAACACTTCTTCCCGTGTTCTAATATCTCAACTGATTTTTCTCAGGATTGATTGACTGACTGATGGATTTGATTTACTTATTCACGAGACACACAGAGAAAGGCAGAGACATAGGCAGAGGGAGAATCAGGCTCCCTGCAGGGAGCCCAATGCAGAGATTGGATCTCAGGACCCCAGGATCATGGCCTGAGCTAAAGGCAGATGCTCAACCAGTGAGACACCTAGGTGCCCTTCAGAATTTAGAAAAACATAAATTTCCTGAGAAATGCCAGAAAGGAATTGCCACGCAAAATACTCTCTTTAAGGTACACCTGGGTGCCATAGTCAGTTGAGGGACTGACTCTTGGTTTCTGCTCATGTCATGATCTCAGGGTTGTGAGATCCAGCCCGCCTCTGGAGCCTGCTGGAGATTCTCTCCCCTTCCTTTTCCTCCCTCCCACTCTGCTAGTCTGCCACTCCCCATCCCACCCCCACTCATGCATGCATGAGCACAGTTTCTCTCTCTCTAAAAAAAATTAATAAAATCTTTAAAAAATAAGAAATACTATGCTTGACAAAGTACAGCATTTTCATGAAGCCACTTAAATTTAAACTCATGTGTTCTGATGGATTCGATTTTGAACTGTTTTCATGAAATGCTGATGGATGCAAAGGGATTATCTATTAAACAGTAATTTAAAAAAACTGAATGTTTTAGTAGCAAAATATACACATCTAGACTTGGGAGTTTTTAAGATTAATTAAAGATTAATTCCTAGCTTTATTTTAATAATACTTACATTAAGTTCTTAAAACATTGTCAAGATACCAATTTTCCTAAAATAATTTAATTTTTTAATCAATTGATAACTCATGTTCATTTTTACACATTACACTTACACAAATCATATTGCAAACCTTTTCAAAATAAAGATAGATCCCTAAGGAAATGACCTTTCATAAAATGTCATGTAATAAATATAATTTGTATTAAATTTATTATTGAAAGAGAGGGATAGGAGTGCCTGGGTGGCTTGGTCAATTAAGCATCTGCCTTCAGCTCAGCTCATGATTTCAGGGTTCTGGGATTGAGCCCCTAATTGGGTTCTCTGCTCAGTGGGGAGTCTGTTTCTCCGTCTACCCCTCTCTCGGTGATCTCTCTCACTCTCTCTAATAAATAAATAAAAAATTTTAAAAAGAAAGAAAGAGGAGGGATAGGAATTGGGCAATTTTAGACTGACAGTTATTTTCATAGACGCATTTCAATAATCAAAGTATTTTTAAAGCTAAAAAATGTGGAGTTTAAAATGAAATATCAATGGATAAGATCAGAGTGTCCCTTCTTTTTCCTCTCATTACCAGCACAATCATAAACAAGCACTGTGCTCCTTACTAACTCACCCTTAACACCTATTGTTCTAAAGAAAGTGTAAAGCAACTCAAACAAAGCAGCTCTGTTAAGAGATTGAGTAATAAAGGCCAGGGACTAGTTCCCAGTAGGACATACTAAACTATTCTGTAATATTGACACCTCTTGAACCATTTAAATATAGACAGGTGTTGACACCTGAACTGAATTTTCCGACTGTTAGGCCTAGATGAAGCATCTTTATGTCTTGATTCCTTCAAAGGCTATTAAAGAAGCAGATTGTTCAGCTTGTCTTTTCACAGAGTTTTCCAAGTCTACTCTGTTACTCCATTAAGTTTTTGCCCAATCACCTGCTCTCCAAGATTCGCTTTCTAGTGATATAATTGAACTGACATTTGGTAAGCTTCTCCTCACTTAAAATTTTTTTAATTTTCTTCTTTTTTCTTGTCTTCCTCCCTGTATTTTCTACTTTAATAAAAAATTCTCCATTTCGGTACAAAGTGGAGCTTGGCTCCAACCACCTCTATCAATCAGCTCTTCCTTTTATCACATCAGCAAACCAAACCAATCACATCACAACTTCTATATTACTGAGAACCATTGGTATTTCCTCACTTTGAATTTCTGGCTGTTCTATTATGTACAAAATGCAAGAAATATAGTAAGATATAATATTTCCATGTTTCAGAGCCATGAAAAATGTCAATGCAATGTTGATAAATAACTCACTGAACACTGAAGAAGCTCAAACAAGTAAGTAATCATTTCGGAATTAAAGTTCTATACTTTTCAAGTACTTAAGTCCTCAAGACCAGTGTCTTTACTACCATTTCACAAAACATTTTTTTTTTTTAAGTAAGCTCTAGGTCCAATGTGGGGGTTGAACTCACAACCCCAAGATCAAGAGTCAGTTCTACTGACCAAGCCAGCCAGGCACCCTCACAGAACAACTTTTAACATTTATCTTAAATTTCATAATTTTTATTAGTTTCATATATAATTGTTACTTATTACATGTTACATTAAAATACACTGGTCATATGCATCTCATTAAATTTTATTAAATAAGTTTCTACATAACATGCCCTTGCTATCAATTACCATTTTCATACTTCAAAAATAATTATATTAAAAAATGTAAATTTAAGTCAAACACCAAGTTCAATTCGCTTATTAGTGAGTATGATATATCATCCTCTAAATATCTAGAGCCCTTCTTCTCTTATGCTTGGCCCCCTTTCCAAACATCTTAAGAACACATATAACTGGCCTTATAAGAGATACCCATGTGATCAGAGCTGCTTATAGAAAATGAAAGGAAAAAATTCTTTCACCCTTTCTTCACTCTTTTCATGTAAAATTTGACTTTTACAACCAATCTTTTTGATTCTCTCTCTCTCCTAGCCTTACTTAGCCTTATTCTGTCCAGAAAACCTGAGAAGGGACATAAGTAGATGTTTGATACTTTTTTAATCCTAATAATCTGGATACCCATTTTTTACCCATGTGCCTCATTGAGTCCTCCAATATGATTATTTACTTGCTTCTGACTTCTAATTGCATAGATTCTCAAATTCAAAAAAGTCCATGTAACTACTTTTCCCATCAATTATTAACTAGCAAAAATATTCAGAATTTAGCTTCATCATTAAAACACTATCTAAGGGATCCCTGGGTGGCGCAGTGGTTTAGCGCCTGCCTTTGGCCCAGGGCGCGATCCTGGAGACCCGGGATCGAATCCCACGTCAGGCTCCCGGTGCATGGAGCCTGCTTCTCCCTCTGCCTATGTCTCTGCCTCTCTCTCTCTCTCTCTGACTATCATAAATAAATAAAAATTAAAAAAAACAACACTATCTAAAAGCATACTTGTTACTTGGATCGTCATTACTTAAACAGATAAACATTACTTATTCAGTTCTCAATATATTTGTCCTATGTAAATTAATTTTAAATAAGTTAACTTACTATTTTTTTCTTCTGGGATTTTAAATCATCCAGTGCTTCATCTAGAAAAAAAAAGATTTAATTCATAAATCAAAGCTAAATCAGGTATTAAGATTAGATATCTTAAAAATAGTATGCCAAATGATATACATTAAGCATCCACAAGAAAAGTTTTAGAATTTTTTACTGACATGTACAGATAAAAATTATCTCAAACTTTATACATATATATTTCATATTGTTGCCTATATGTTACAAGTAGAGAAAAAATTGACTTTATATAGAGTAAAACACCTTTCAAAATTTAAAAAGACCTATACATTTTATCAAATAGAATTTAAATAATTATTCTTAATTTAATTAAATTTATAGATAAAATTATTATTTCTTCATTTAAGTTCTGGGGTAGCAAATATCTGAATACTCAAATCAAAGTATATTATTTATGTAAAAATCCAAATACAAACTTATACAAAGACTGTACTATATTTTTTTTAATATTTTAGTTTTTAATGTGCTAGCAGACTTATTACTAATGGGGGGGAAGCCTGCTAACATCTTTAAAGAGAATAGACATCTATAGTTATATAAGACCAAGCCAAATATTTATCCCTTAATCCAGAAGTCAGCAAACTTTTTCTAAAAGGGCCAGACAGTTAAATATTTTAGGCATTATGGGCCAAAAGGCAAAACTAAGTCAGTACTTTTTAAAACAAAAAAGTAAAAAAAATAAAAATAAAAATAAAACAAAAGAGTAAATAGATTTCCACAAATCTTTATTGACAAAATTCAATACAATAATAATTGAGTTAAATTTTTTTTTTGTAACACAGATCTATCACTTAAAAGAATGGAATTATTTTCTTTTGGGTGGGGAGATAACATTTAAATGAGGTTCAAAGTTAGTGTTCTCTATCATCAAAAATGATTGCAAATATTAGCACATTGATGTTGATCTGTCATGAGATTTTACATATTTGATTCTTTGAAAATGGTTTTTCAGACATATACGTACTGCTAAATACTGAAATCAGTCCACAAGACCATGATTTTAATTGAGTAAATTCATTGTTTGGAAGGCATTTATAGACTTAACTCTTCTATTGATATTTGCCTTTTCTTGTCATTATATTGCAAATTAATCACTTTCAATTGAAGATAAGTGGAAGCTCCTCAATTGTATAGTTAAATGAATTTTGAAATACAGAAATTTCCTTTGTACTTCTTGAAGTCTGAAAAACACTGTTGGGTCGTTTCTCTTTTGGCTAAGATCAAGTGTGAAAAACACTGCTGGAACTATAGTTTCAGCTCAGATCATGTATTTACTACAAATTTCAGGGGGAATGAGGATCTTGCTTCTTGCTTTTCCAAGTCTTTTTTACTTTTTTAAGATGTTTTGATTTATTTATTCATGAGAGACACAGAGAGAGAGGGGTGGGGCAGAGACACAGGCAGAGGGAAAAAGCAGGCTCCATGCAGGGAGCACTACATGGGACTGGATCCTGGGTCTCCAGGATCACGCCCTAGACTGAAGGCGGCGCTGAACGCTGAGCCACCCGGGCTGCCCCCAAGTCTTTTTAAAAAATTATTTTGTGTCAATACAATGACATTTATTTTCTTAATGACTTTATAGCATTATAGGTTTTGCATATAAGGATTGTTTGTCTTGCAATCTTAGGTTGAACTCCTTAAGAACCATTGTCAACTCTGCAACAAAAGCTAATTTTCCAAAGTCAGTCAACATCCAATCATAGTGGTTGAAGGTGGTTCTTCTCGTACACAAATACTACAATCTATGCCCTGAGCTCAAAACATCACAATAAAACTGTACCGGCAGGTTAAGATATTCAGCTTCTATTTATGATTAAAGTTCACATAACTGACAATGGTTAAGTTCTCGAGAGTAAATAAAATTCTCCATTGACACTACTAACTTATGGTAGTTCAAATACGCTCGGAAAAGTACCTGCTGCCACATAACACAATGAATAACCACAAAATGAAAACACCTTACAGTTTCACAAGTTTGCATATTAATCCAAATAGGCCTTTTTCTGCTTCATGCATTTTTTTTTATTTTAGTTGACACACAATGCTACATTAGTTTCAGGTATACTGAAACTAATTTGACAAGTTTATACATTATGCTATGTTTACAAGTGTAGCTACCATCTGTCCCATTACATCACTAATACAATTTCATTGACTGTATTCTTTATTCTGTGCCTTTTAGTCCTATGACCTACTCATTCCATAACTGGAGGTCTATGTCCCTCTCCCCTCTTCATCCATTTTGCCTAATCCCTGACTCCCCTCTCCTCTGGCAATCATCAGTTTATTCTCTGTATTTACAAATCTGATTCTGCTTTTTGTTTATTCATGTTTCTTAGATTCCATCTATGAATGGAATTATTTGTCTTTGTCAGTCTGACTTATTTCACTTAGCATAATACCCTCTAAGTCTATCCAGAAGGTCTCAGCACAATCTCATCCTTCATATCCCATTGTGTGTGTTATCTATTTGTCTACTGATGGACACTTAGATTACTTCTGCAGTTATTGTAAATAGTGCTGCAATAAACACAAGGTGCATATATGTTTTTAAGTTGGTGTTTTCATTTTTTCTGGGTAAATACTCAATAGTTGAATTGTTGAATCATACGGTATTTCTATTTTTAATTTTTCAAGAAATCTCCATACTATTCTCAACAGTGGCTGTACTAATTTACATTCCAGCTAACAGTACACAAAAGTTCCTTTTTCTCCACATCCTAACCAAATTATCTTTTTTTATTTTAGCCTTTCTAAGAGATATGAGGTGATATCTCACTGTAGTTTTGATTTGCATTTCCCTGATGATTGGTGATGCTGAGTATCTTTTCTTGTGTCTTTTTCCTGTGTCTACTACAATTGAGCAGTATCAGATCCAAGAAAGATCACTCAAAATCATTTGCCATATTTTTAAACTATCTTGCTTCCAATATTCTGTTCTTCAAGCAATTATTCTTGCCAAAAGGCTACTTACTAACTAAGCAAATATACTTTCTCTGAATATATTTTTTTCAGCTGCTGTAATCAAACACAATAATTAATTCACCATTGGTAAATAAATGACTTTCTCTGCTTCACTAATAGGCCAATCAGAAACTTATTTGGTTGAAGCTCCATTTTCACTTTTTTTTTTTTTTGGTAAGATTTTTTTTCTTTTTTTTTGAGAGAAGGAGAGAGAGAGTACAAGCAGAGGAAGTAGCAGAGGTAAGGGAGAAGCAGGCTCCCCGCTGAGCCAGGAGCCTGATACGGAGCTCACAGTCCTGGGATCATGACCTGAGCAGAAGACAGTCACTTAATGTATGAAGCCACCCAGGCACCTCTCACTTTTTATTTTTATGAAGAATTCAGCTATGATGAGATATTCCATTTTTAAAATTCTAATTCTTATGACCATTGCTATTCTGTGAGTTGGGAATATTATGAGTACTTGGTTTGGTACTATCAATGTATATTTTTATTCTTCGAGCACAACTATAATGTCATTGAATAATAAACACAATGCTTTATGTTTTGATAACAAAACAACCCACGGTCTACTATGCCCTAAAAATGCAACATTCAAAGTTAAATCTTCTCCTCTTTTGTTTTTTTCATGATGAGTATACAGTGGTAATTTTGAAAATATAAAATTGTCACTATATATGGCACATGAAATGTCAAGTTATAATTGTGTCACTGTGATGTGTAGTACATCCTGCAACAGTCTGAAGTGTTGAGAGCACCACATAGTCTATCACAACTACTTAACTCTGCCATTGTAGGATGAAAGGAGTTACAGACAACATTTAAGTGAATGGGCAGCATTTTGCTCCAATAAAAACAGAAATTTGAATTTAATATAAATGTAATATCCCAAAATATTCTTTTGAATTTTTCAATGATCTAAAAATTTGAAAATCATTCTTAAATCATGACATGTAAAAGTGGTGGGCAGGACTTGGCCCACAGGCTATGGTTTATCAACTCTTATTCTATACTAGGTCCAAGGTATAGAAAAAAAGGAAATAAAACTAAAAGAGAACAAAAAGCAAGAATACAGGGGCAGCCCCGGTGGCCCAGCGGTTTAGCGCCGCCTTCAACCCAGGGCCTGATCCTGGAGACCTGGGACTGAGTCCCACATCAGGCTCCCCGCATGGAGCCTGCTTCTCCCTCTGCCTGTGTCTTTGCCTCTCTCTCTCTCTCTCTCTCTCTGTGTGTGTGTGTGTGTGTGTGTGTGTCTCTCATGAATAAATAAATAAAATCTTTAAAAAAAAAAAAAGAAAGAACACAATCAATAGCTTCAGGCTTAAATATATATATATTACAATTGACTTTATGCTATGAGTTTTTATGCTAAAAAAATAAATGTAGGACTGTAAGATAACCTTTTATGAGTTCTATTTTACATGTACATGTAATACATACTCAAATGAATTAAATTTTTTTAAAATAAAAGGATCCCTAAAATAATTTTTAAAGCAACCCTTTTATATAATAACTATGTCCTGATGTGTCTATTTATAAGTTAAAATATTCATACATTTAATTTGCTTAGAGAAGTGTTTCCAAGCACTCTTTTAAGAGATTTTTTTTGTATTTTCCACTATTTTGTTAGTTCCATGAGGTCAGAGAACATTTTGTTTTAAACTTCTTCCTGTCCTTCTGGCATCTGCTATATTACCAAATATCAGTGGAAACAACATCATAAGCTTAATTTCCTTAATATGATAGTAAGTACCAATATTTTTTAAAAGCACAGCAAATATCATACTTTATGGTAAAAAAAAAAAATAAAAGCTTTTCCACTGAGAATTAGAAACTAGACAAAGAATCTGCTATTTCCACTTCAACTCACTATTATACTGAGTCCTAAACCATTAAAACAAGACAAAGATTAAAAAGACAAGAAAAATAAAAAAGAATAAGGAATAGAAAAGAAAAATCAGTACCATCAGCCCACGTGTGTTAACACTTCGCAATTTTTATATACCTTGGCATAGTTTCACTTAGTACTCATAATAATCCTTCCAAAGCAAATATTTCATGTGCATGATGATGATGATAATACATGTTTCCACTTTGCAAATTAGGAAACTGAGGTTCAGAGAATTAAAATTTGTCTGTAGGACAAAAAGATAGCCAGTGTGGTGGAGCATAAGTGAAAGACGAAGAGTAGAAAGAGATAAGTTAGAGAATAGGCATAAGCCAGAAAGCAGGGGTAAAGAATTCAGATTTACTCTGGCTGTCACGGGAAACCATTACAAAATTTGAAGCAATGGGCAGCCCAGGTGGCTCAGTGGTTTAGCACTGCCCTAAGCCCAGGGTGTGATCCAGGAAACCTGGGATCAAGTCCCACATTGGGCTCCCTGCATGGAGCCTGCTTCTCCCTCTCCCTGTCTCTGCCTCTCTCTCTCTGTCTCTCATGAGTAAATAAATAAAATCTTAAAAAAATTAAAATTAAAATTTGAAGCAGGAAAGACACAATAACTATTTTATACCTTAAAAATAGACTGGTTTGGAAGTAATTCCTATTACAGGGAGGAGATGGACAATGACCTGAATTACAAAGTAGTAGTAGTAAAGCATATTAGAAGTGGTCAGATGCAAGATAATTGTGAAGGTAGAGATGACAGGACTTTGAAGGGGAGAGAGAAATGCATAGTAGATTAAAGGGAATATGAAGTCAAAATCGAGTCCTGCCCACCCTTCCCCCCACAACTATGTGGAAGTGAGATTATACACCAATAGAGACAACTCAAGAGAAAGAGATAACACAAAAGAAGGTAATTGCAGGAAGAGATAGCTGCAAGAACAAAGTCCTTGAGATGGCCAGAGTATCCAAAATCCAAAGCATAAATGGAGAGCTTAGCCATAGATGGCATCAAGTTCAGTCTTCTAGACTACCACTGAAGGATGCTAACATACTGAGTAATAGATGGAGCTAACTGTATATATTTGGTGGTGGCAGTTGCTCTCATCTATTTACATCTATTTTCTCCATAAAGTGAGACTCTCCATGAGTTGCCAGGTAGATTTTTGTGGGTTTTGTTTGTGAATTTTGAATTTTTATTTAGTTGACTGATTGGTTGGTTTTATTTTGGTTTGGTTTTTGTTTATTTGCAGGAAGGCAGGTATTAGTGATCTGAAGAGAAATATAATCTCAAGAAATACTCTCAAAGAGAAAAAAGTGAATTTTCTAGGGAACTACGAAATAGGACCATGTAGTAGTACAGAGTATACATTTAATATTTACTATCATAGATTTAAAATAAGTCTGGTCAGGGACAACTGGGTGGCTCGGCCAGTTAAGCATCTACCTTTGGCTCAGGTCATGACCCCGGGGTCCTGGGATCCAGCCTCCATGCTTCTCCCCCTTCCTCTGCTCCTGCTCCTCCCCTCCTCCTTGCTCTCTCTCTTATATAAATAAATAAATAATCTTTTTTAAAAATAAAATAAGTCTAGTCAGTATGCTTTATGATTTTCTCTATGATTTCTTTTGAAAGAAATTTAGCTTTTCTGATGCAGGGATAGACCAAGCTTATAAAAGTTTTTAACCAGAAGAGAGTTTTGCAGTCATAGATTAAGAATATAATTGTATTTAAATAAGGTACAGTTTTTGCCAAATAGAATGGGAAAAAGGGGCAAAGGTGTCAAGAGTATCTGCAAGGAATGGTCACTGGGCTAACCCATGAACATAAACTGGGTTAAAGAGAAGTCATAAGTGAGGGGGGGCAATTTGAAAGTCATATATGAACCTTACTTGGATTTGAATCAAACAAAATATATTTAATATTTTATGATATTAGATATGATATGATATGATAATATATTACGTTACGTTAATGATAATGCATTGTATAATGTATTTTCTTAAAGGCCTTTCATGGATAGATATAACTGGGATATACTTAAAAAAATATAGTATGTAGATAAGAGGGTGGGGATAAAAATTAAACAAGGCTGACCATGAGCTGATAGTTATTTACATTGTGTGATAAGTATATGAGCACTTATACTATTCACTTTCCTTTTGTGTATATAATTTTTATGTGACATTTTTGACAATTAAAAGTTAAAACAAAAAAAAGAAGTCACATTCAAAGTTCGTTTATGATGAAATTCGCATATCTTTGTTTAATTATAACTCATACTTTTATACCTGAAAATCTTTAAAATCTGTACATAGGATACAGAAGGAAACATCATAATTTGCATATTTTCATAAAAACAAAAGCCTAGGAACAGTGAGGTTAAAGAGAATGGTGCAATTAATTAACAAATTAAAAGATGTCTACTCTATAATAAGTTTTGTGTGAAGATTAATAAATAATTTCTCTCAATTTAAAAGATGAATTAATGAAAGGAACTGTTTTGTGTAAAAAAATTCTGAATAAACAAGATGAACATAACACAAATGTAAAACAGAATCCCTTCAGTATTTACAAGATCGTCATTTCAATACACCATTTCACAACCTGCCATTCAGTTACAAACCAATGTACTATAAGAAGGTGTTTTTTAAAATGTATTTATAAAAACTTAGAAATTAAACTTACTATTTCTTTCTGTTCTCTTGGAAAAGAAGAAAATAAGCACTGTTCTTATGCTCCAGATGCTACAGAGGAAGCAAAATTCAGAAACAAAACCAACATTAGGATAAGTGAATTAAAAGCCATATAAAATGAAAACAAATATACATTTCCAGTTAGAGTTCAGTACATTGCTTCCCTTATATTTTGAAAATCAGAAAGTATTTCTGTATTTGAGACTATCAGAGGTCTACCTCTGCTTTCAAGAGTTCTCAAGATAAAACACATGGACCTTTTGAGGGTTCCCCAGAATTATGAAATTACCTTTCTGTGTATAAGTGCATTTCTCTGGAAAGAGCACTGTGTTTATCACTCTGAAAGGGGTCTATAAACCAGCCCCCCAAAAAATTATAGAATCCCTTCTTACTAAGTAAGCATCAACTCCAAAAATTTGTCTATTCCCATGCATTGAGAGAAAAGCACATTTCACAAATTCAGCACATTGTGCAAATATAAGCTGCTATTACTTCCCTATGGAAGGATCTTCTCTACTAAATAGAATAAGCTATCTAGAAGAGAAAAAAACTTACCTTCAAGGAAGTACTTTACAAGTAAACTTAGCTAAACACTTCCTTTCAAAGATTTTATGAGAATTCTTTGGGCCTTACATTAGTAAGACATGAAATGATATTAAAAGTAAATCAAAGAATGATCCTAATCACAAACTTGTCAAGGTCATCTCTCAAATTCAATGTAAATACAGCACAATCGTTTTCTTCAAAAAACATAGAATACATATACAAACATTATTCATAATTTTATAAAAGAAATACATTGCAAGGGCGCCTTTGTGGTCCTTCCAAATATTTTCTTATGCTGCATCTCAAGTGCACATGGAATATTCTCCAAACAGATCACATACTGGGTCACAAACCAGGTCTCAACTAGTACAAAAAGATAGAGATCATATCATGCATATTTTCAGACCACATAATACATGAACCACAAGAAAAAAATTGGAAGGACCACAAATATATGGAAGTTAAAGAATATCCTACTGAAGAATGAACAAGTCCACCAGGAAATTAAAGAAGAATTAAAAAAAAATACATGGCAGCAAATGAAAATGAAAATACAACAGTTCAAAACCTTTGGGATACAGCAAAAGTGGTCCTAAGAGGAAAGTACATAGCAATACAGGTTTTCCTCAAGAAGCAAGAAAAGTCTCAAATTCACAACCTAACCTTACACTTAAAGGAACTAGAAAAAGAACAGCAAATAAAGCCTAAATCCAGCAGGAAAAGAGAAATAATAAAGATTAGAGCAAAAATCAATGATACAGAAATCAAAAAAACAGTAGAAGAGATCAATGAACTGGCCTGATTCTGACTGAAACTGAGCTGGTTCTTTGAAAGAATTAATAAGATCAATAAAGCCCTGGCCAGACTTACCAAATAGAAAAGAGAAAGGACCCAAATAAATAAAATCATGAATGAAAGAGGAGAGATTACAACCAACACTCAAGAAACACAATTATAAGAGAGTATTATGAGCAAATATATGCCAACAAATTAGGCAATCTGGAAGAAATGGATAAATTCCTAGAAACATATGAACTACCAAAACTGAAACAGGAAAAAGTAGAAAACTTGAACAGATCCATAACCAGGACAGAAACTGAATTAGTTAAAAAAAATAAAAAATAAAAAACCAACAAAAAAAACAACCAGGAGTTCAGGGTCAGATGTCTTCCCAGGGGAATTCTACCAAACATTTTTTTTTTTTTTTTTTTTTTTTTTTTATAAATTAATTTTTATTGGTGTTCAATTTACCAACATACAGAATAACACCCAGTGCTCATCCCATCAAGTGTCCCCCTCAGTGCCCGTCACCCATTCACCCCCACCCCCCGCCCTCCTCCCCCTCCACCACCCCTAGTTCATTTCCCAGAGTTAGGAGCCTTTATGTTCTGTCTCCCTTTCTGATATTTCTCACACATTTCTTCTCCCTTCCCTTATATTCCCTTTCGCTATTATTCCTATTCCCCAAATGAATGAGAACATACACTGTTTGTCCTTCTCCGGTTACTGTGGCCAAGTTCAAAAAGGGTGTTGCCTGAGTTCTTCTCTGGGATTTTGATGGAATCTTGTCTCACATTTAGATCTTTCATCTATTTTGAGTTTATCTTTGTGTATGGTGCAAGAGAGTGGTCCAGTTTCATTCTTCTGCATGTGGATGTCCAATTTTCCCAGCACCATTTATTGAAGAGACTGTCTTTCTTCTAGTGGATCGTCTTTCCTCCTTTATCGTATATTAGTTGAGCATAAAGTTCAGGGTCCACTTCTGGGTTCTCTGTTCTGTTCCATTGATCTATATGTCTGTTTTTGTGCCAGTACCACACTGTCTTGATGAACACAGCTTTGTAGTACAACCTGAAATCTGGCATTGTGATGCCCCCAGATATGGTTTTCTTTTTTTAAAATTCCCCTGGCTGTTTGGGGTCTTTTCTGATTCCACACGAATCTTAAAATAATTTGTTCTAAGTCTCTGAAGAAAGTCCATGGTACTCTGCGCCTTTTGATGGGGTCATTAAGCCCATTCACGTTCAGAGTTACTATTGACAGATATGAGTTTAGTGTCATCATGATATCTATTTAGTCCTTGTTTTTGTGGATTGTTCCACTGACCTTCTTCTTAAAGGGGAGTTTTAAGAGTCCCCCTTAAAATTTCTTGCAGAGCTGGTTTGGAGGTCACATATTCTTTCAGTTCCTGCCTGTCTTGGAAGCTCTTTATCTCTCCTTCCATTTTGAATGAGAGCCTTGCTGGATAAAGTATTCTTGGTTGCATGTTCTTCTCATTTAGGACCCTGAATATATCCTGCCAGCCCTTTCTGGCCTGCCAGGTCTCTGTGGAGAGGTCTGCTGTTACCCTAATATTCCTCCCCATGAAAGTCAGGGACTTCTTGTCTCTTGCTGCTTTAAGGATCTTCTCTTTATCTTTGGAATTTGCAAGCTTCACTATTAGATGTCGAGGTGTTGAACGGTTTTTATTGATTTTAGGGGGGGATCTCTCTATTTCCTGGATCTGAATGCCTGTTTCCCTTCCCAGATTGGGAAAGTTTTCAGCTAGGATTTGTTCAAATACATATTCTGGCCCTCTGTCCCTTTCGGCGCCCTCGGGAACCCCAATTAAACGTAGGTTTTTCTTCCTTAGAGTGTCATTTATTTGCCTTAATCTGTCTTCGTGGTTCTTTAATTGTTTATCTCTTTTTTCCTCAGTTTCCCTCTTTGCCATTAACTTGTCTTCTATGTCACTCACTCGTTCTTCCACCTCGTTAACCCTCGTCGTTAGGACTTCTAGTTTGGATTGCATCTCATTCAGTTGATTTTTAATTTCTGCCTGATTGGATCTAAATTCTGCAGTCATGAAGTCTCGTGAGGCCTTAATGCTTTTTTCTAGAGCCACCAGTAGCTGTAGAATAGTGCTTCTGAATTGGCTTTCTGACATTGAAGTGTAATCCAGATTTTGTAACTCTGTGGGAGAGAGGGCTGTTTCTGATTCTTTCTTTTGAAGTGAGGTTTTCCTTCTAGTCATTTTGCTCAGTGCAGAGTGGCCAAAAACAAGTTGTATTGGAACACGGGGGAGTATCACTGGTCCGTCCAGCTGGTCTTCTGGGGGAGGGGCCTGCTGTGCTGATTTTCAGGTGTTAGCACTTGGGGGAGCTGCTCTGCCCCTGCCTGCTGCCGGGCTCAGCGGGGGTTGTTTACCCCGCCAGGCCCCAGGAGGAACAGCAGCAGTTGCTACGGCAACTCTGGAAGCCTGGATTCAGCCTCCGCAGGAACTACGGGGCTCGGGGCTCTCGGTTCTCCGTCCGCAGGGCCTGGAGGCTCCGGGGCGGGGCCGCTGATCTGCTCAGCTCGGGGCAGGAGCGTCCTCGCTGTCCTGGGCCCTCCCGGCCTCTGCCTGTCCCGGGGGAGGCCGGATCCTGGGCTGTGTCCCGGCGCCCTGTGCTCCGGGGCCTGCGCTGTGGGATTCGCGCTCCCGCCCCGCAGCCCCCTCCGCGGAGCCGCCGCCCGAGCCCCTCCGAGCTGCTCCGGTCGGTCCCTCCGTGCGCGCTGCAGCCCTTAGGGAGCTCGGAGCACTCTCCTGCGCTCGCAGGTGTCTGTTAGTGTCCCCGGGAGCCCGAGGGCATCCCCGCCCTCCTGGGTCCTGCTCCACCTCCCTGCGAGCCCCTTTCCGCCCGTCCGGGAAGGTTGGTGCAGCTCCTGCTCCTCCGGGACGGGGCTCTCCTGTCCTGGGGACACTCGCCCCGGCCTCAGCCCGGCTCCTCGCGGGGCCCCTCCCCCTCGGAGGCCTTTTGTTTCTTTATTTCTTTTCCCCCCGTCTTCCTACCTTGATAGAAGTGCGAACTTTTCTCACTGTAGCATTCCAGCTGGTCTCTCTTTACATCTCAGGCCGAATTCGTAAATTTTCAGGATGGTTTGAAGGTTATCTAGGTAATTTGGTGGGGACAGGTGATTTGGGGACCCTGCTCTTCCGCCATCTTGCCCCTCCCCCTCTACCAAACATTTAAAGAAGAATTAATGTCTATTCTTCTGAAACTGTTCCAAAAAAATAGAAATGGAAGGAAAACTTCCAAACTCACTCTATGAAGCCAGTATTACCTTAATCTCAAAACCAGACACAGACCCCACTAAAAAAGAGAATTACAGATCAATATCCCTGATGAACATGAATACAAAAATTATCACAAAGATACTAGCTAACAGGATCCAACAGTACATTAAAAAAATTATTCACCACAACCAAGTGGGATTTGTTCCTGGGCTCCAGGGGTGGTTCAACATCCTCAAATCAATCAATGTGATACACATTAATAAAAGAAAGTACAAGAACTAGATGTTCCTCTAACAGATGCAGAAAAAGCATTTGACAAAATACAGCATCTTTTCTTGATAAAACAAAAACAAAAAACAAAAACAACCAGAAACAACCTCTCCATGTGTAGCAATGGAGGGCACATACCTCAGTATCATAAAAGCCATATATGAAAGACCCACAGCAAGTATCATCCTCAACAGGGAAA